TTCATTAAGATTTGTTCTTAGCTACTCTTTTGTGGAAAACGAGTTGCATTTTAGCTAATATGAAACATTGCTTTATTCTGTTTATATTCTAATGATATTCTATTGAGGCTGTTAGGCATGCATCTGTAAAGTATGGAAAATTAGTACAATTGGAAAAGAGCTCATAATACGCAGATTAGCAGACACCACAGATCACATGCACCGCAGAAGTGGCACAGACTACAAATTACCTAAATGGTATGAATTTGGTATTGTGGCATGTATCACTTTCCAACATTTCAGTAGTTACAAGTTAATACTGAATGAAAATATCTAAATCTGTATGTAAAATGAATGCTATTTCTGGCTTTACTCCCTTTAAAGTTTTAAATTTCCCTTTACACAAAATTCGATCAACTGTGCATATTGGTCACATCCCTCATACCCAGTGTCCTCATTCTTTCTCTCAGATCTTTTCAGCTCCCCCTTTCTCCCAAAGACAAAGTCATTTTTTGCTTTCATGTCCTATATGCAAATGTAATTTGGAGTCAGGATGAAGAAGGAGGAGCTAGAGTGGTTCAGGTGCCGTACTCACACGTGAAGTCAGAAAACAATGTCAAGTAGAAATTTTAAAAAGAATCAAATAATTAACTAGAAAGAAATTGTGATTTCCTAATTAAAATGTACATTTACATCCTCTGCTAAAGAATCAAGGAATAAAAAAAGAGAAAATTCATGACCTGTATTGTTCTGAGACTGGATTAATTTCCTATAATTGCATTACTTTTTCTGTAGATAATATATTTTTCTTCTTTTTTTACTGCATTTTTGTTACTGTAAGGATTGTAAATACTTTATTCTGTAATAAGCTCAATGAAGTTAATATGGTTAAATCTGTTTTTAAAGATTCTCTCATTAATATGAAATTTGGAAAAATGTTAATCTATGTATTCTGAAGTTAAATCCTAATAATCATATCACCTAATATTCTGGTTGTTAGTACATGCCCTCTTACATTACACAATGTGTTTATATTGTCTGTTTCAATGAGGATCAATATACATTTCATCTAGGAAGCATATGTGTGATAATGAATTCCTATTTTAAAAATATTTTAGAAATATACTTATTTTCATATCAACAATACTTGCATTTACTTTTTTTTGAAAAGGACTACCCTTTTATGTTTGATTGTATGTGTGACTGTGTCTCTGCCTGTGTGCATATACATTTCTTTGCAGATACCTAGAGAGGCTGGAGGATTCACCACAAACTGATGATGGAGTTATAGTTGGTTATAAGCCACCTGAAGTGGATGCTGGGAACCAAACATGGGCTTCTGCATGAATAGGATACCTTCTTAACAACTGACCTTTCTCTCTAGCCCTACAATACCTTCTTTTAAAATAAGAAAGTGGCTTACATATTTAAGTGTGATGTAAAACTGATGGATCTATGTTAATATTTTTATCAGGATACCTCTACACATATTCAACCAAGATATATTTCTCAGTTATCATTAACATTAACTCCAACACCCACAAATATTCTAAATGGAGAGAAAGGTAAGAATTTTATCATCAATATGCCATTTAAGGAATTATCAAAATCAGAGCCAACAAGTATTTTACTAGGCAAAAGGTGTCTATAAAAATAAGTATGCAATAGGAAATAAGCATTAGATTTTAATAAGTTATAAGCATCATTTTAAGTTGGCCATGTCAAGAGCTGAATTATAGGGCTGATGTTGGTACTTAAAGAGTACATCTGTTTTTATAAAGGACCTGAGTTTGGTTTTTTAGCACATAAGTCAGGATAGTAATCACCCATGTCTCAGCTCCAGGAGGATCCAACCCCTTTGATTCTATAAGCACAGTGTTCAGGAACAAACACACCCTCAGAAAGACAGGCACATATATACACAACTTAAAGTAACTTAATTTTTAAAAAAACATTGAATATAAGTATATTTTAATATTCTTTTTCTGAAGAATTTCAGGCAATAAGAACTTGAAAAGCAGATAGGAAGTGAATGTTAAAAGGTCAGATAGAGTTGGTATAGATGGAGGGATTTGGGCAATGCATATGGCGAAGGGTATGAAAGGAACATCTTTAGGAAATGAAGTGTTAGGTGGGGGAATACAGCATGAACTAGTTAAGGTATGGAAACATAACTGAGAGGAAAAAGAAAGGGTGCTGCTCTTTGTGTCTATCTCTTTTGGGAAGGTGTAAAAGACTGAAAAACTGGGTCATAATGGAACTTCTTTTTTTATCTTGTTTTTTTCCCTCCCCTTCTGTCCTGTTCTTCTTTTCCTCCTTCTTTCTCTCCTCTCTTCCTTCCTTTTACTCCCCTCCCCACTTTCTAATTCTTTTTAGACAAGGTTTTGATATATAGCCCAGGTTGACCTGTAATTCACCAAGCAGTCTAGCCTGGCCTATAACTCATTGTAGTCCTCCTGTAAGCCTAGACATGGAACTTCTTTTTTATTTAAATTTTTTCATTTACATACCAGACCCAGTGTCCCCTTCGTCCCCATTTCCTGTATCCCACGCTCTTCCTACTTCCCACCCCTCATCTACTCCTCATAGGGAGTAAGGCCTTCCTTGGGGAATCAACAAAGTCTGCCATAACAAGTTGAGGCAGGACCAAGCCCCTCTGTATCAAGACTGAGCCAATTATCCCACGACAGGGAATGGGTTCCAAAAATCCAGTTCATGCACCTGTGGATAGGTCCTGGTGCTACTGCCAGCTCCTCCCCCAGCAAACGAAGCCACATAACTGTCACCCATATTCCGAGGGTCAAGTTCAGTCCCATGCAGGTTCCCCAGCTGTCTGTCCATAGTCTGCTAGCTTTCACTATCTCAGCTCAGCTGTCTCCGTGGTTCTCCCCATCAAGGTCTTGACTCCCCTTGTTTAGATGATTCCTCCTCCCTCTCTTCAACTGAACTCCAGGATTTCAGCCCAGTGCTTGGCTGTGGGTCACTGCTTCCATCAGTTACTGGATGTAGATTCTACGATGATAATTGGGGTAGTCACTAATCTGACTAAGATGAAGGCTCAATGTAACTTCTTTTAATGTTATAGCAGATAATCATAAACACCTGTGTCACCCATAATATATATGGAATGCCAAATCTTGTTTTTTTTTGTTGTTGTTTGTTTATTTGTTTGTCTGTGTTTTCCTTCTCTGGTTCTGTGATATGGTCCAAAATATCAATGACAGGCAGAAGCAGTAAATGACTAGGAAATGGGTAGCATGATTCATCTACATGGTGATCGTTGCCTCAGGCTTCCTAGGCTATATGCAAAGAACCCTATGATTTTGACACCACAATGTCAAATTCTGTATAATGGAATGTGGGGGAGACTGTAAGTGAACTAAGGATTCTCAAATATTCATGAAGAGTCTATTGCAGACCAGTGTCAAATTTTAATCTCCAGTTAAATAGCTCTGGATCTCTACATATATAAGACATGTTCAGGTGATGCAGATTTGTTTGGTGGTTTAAGCAAATTAAATGCTACTTAGCATTCACTTGTAGAATATCAGAAATATGCTTCCATTAGATGTGACCCTCACAAAGGAAGGAAAGAACAATTTCTAATTTTTAATACCTGTCAAAAATAAAGCTGTTGTGATCTCATTTCAGCTATAAATGAACTTTATTTTGTATTTAAGTTTCCTTTATTCTGAAGATTCTTTACTACAAATTGACATGTAATCTAGAAAGTTTTAAGCATGTTTGTATACAAAGTAATATTTTATACTTTACTACTCTATGTGTGGATATCTTCACCGATCAGTTCTGGGTATAATTTTTTGTGAAGATGTGACATGCCTTTCACTGTATTTTGTCAATGATTCATGACGTTACAGTACAATATGGAAACTTTTAGAGTATATTGGTGTATTGGTGTGAATGTCTCTAAGTATTTGATTAAAGACATGTGATATAGCATTCTGCTTCAGCTTGGACAGTTGTAATACCACTATGGGAAATTGATTTCAACATGCACTTGATAGTGGTATGTATAAATTTTGTATTGAGTTTAGTTATTTTTTATTTGGATTATGATCATACTTTGCAATTTTTCAAATAGTTAAATATTAAGGCCTTTTTGTTTTGCCAACCTGCATCTTATAATTTTGATCTAGAGAGACTAATCACAACATGCAAAGAGAAAATCCATCAAGATGCCAAATATCCTTACCCATTCCCCAAATCAGTTGTAATGATTTTCCTTTCCAGATTTGTATGAAATTCAAATTTTTTAAAATGTATTAATGCATAATGATTGTATCATTTTAGGTTTTCAAAAGAAATTTCCTGAATGGAAGGTAATAATTCCTATTATTTCCTAGATTATTAGATTCATAGGCTATAGCATGTAGAAGACTCACTAAATATATATTTGAAAGCCCATTCAGCTTCCTGTGGAAATGAAACATTCTGATCCATTAGAAACTTCAGCAGTTATGCATAGACAAGTCTTCCCAGAAGGTAAATTCTACAAACTCTGCTATACTACATTGTAGTCTCCAATTTCAAACATGAAATTCTCAGTCTTCTAATCTGCAAACCTCTGCTTCTAACTGTTTACTCAAAAGATCTCAAGGGAATTATCAAAATATTATTCTAACATCATCATTTCAAAATGTTATTGAATTGTAAGTCAGGTATCCAATAGTTCCTGGAACATTTGTCACCAATACTAAATCCATATTCCTGTGCTTGTTCAGTTGATAGTTTTCTACTCAAAAGTGTTATAAGTTGTACTTTTTGTCATTTTGTCTGTGAATTTACTGGAGTGGATTTGGCAGTGTCCACAGGCACTTTCACACACAACTCATATAACGACCAGGGAACGCAACTCTTCTTTAAAATAAGAAAATAAAAATTTACTTTCTAAAACAAGTAATTTCTAAACTTCTTTCTCTATGATTATAAAGATTATGACTTTTGCAGTGTCATGTCAGGTTTGTTTTAGTTAAAACCTAAGTATTGATTTCTTCTTACAGATGAAGACTTCAAGTTGGAAACAGAGAGCAAGGACTATAGCGAGTGCAGTGAAAATACTCAATCATCTGTATGTAATTTTTTTCAGCCATTAGCTTAGCATTTTATTTTTTAAACAGTGTCCTGTTGACTGAATGAAATCATCTGGATATGCTTTCTGAACAAGAAGTCCAAAGTTTAAACTTAGTTTTTGAAGTTTCTTATTTTTGAGACTATAATGTAATTTCACCATCTCGCCATCTCCTTTCCTTTCTTCAAACCTTTCCAGGTTCTCCCTGCTCTCTTTCTAAAGTATGGTGTCTATTTTCATCAATTTTTGATACTTAGAATCCTTAAATTTTCTTAAATATACAGTTGCTTATGACTGAGATTTCTCTGTACAATTTTCTGGCCATTTATTTTTCTTATCATTCATCATTTTCTGCTTGCTTTATACTTCTTCTTTTATAAAAAGGCAGAAAAAATTGTTGTGACTAAAATCTTAAAAACATAAGCAACATTGCACTAATATCTTCAATGTTATGATGCAAAGAATAATTTGAATACTTATCTTTTATTTCAGTAACCAGTTAATGTCATTAATGTGCTATGCAGTGACATTAGTTAATATAAGGGTATATTAGGCCTTGTCCTAATGCAGACACATGGTGTAGTTATTCTCTACTCTTAAAGTTTGTTTTGCAAAACTGTCAGGCTGAACATACTGTGGAAATGTGGTATTTGTTCTCTAGTATCCACAAGGACATTTTAGTTCTCTGGTATTGAATAGCTTTTCACCAATCATTTCCACCAAGCTGAGACAAACATCATAGTCAAATTGTCTTATTTCCTTTTCCATGACTAGTTTTGTGTTGCTGAGTATCTAGAAAGTAGTTAGAAGTAAATTGTAGCAATGAGCTATATTTAATAAAAATAACAAAGTAATCAAATATGTGTTTCAAGTGTGGCGCATCAATAATAGTAAAACTGTGACAACACTGAACATTGAGGGCATTTCTTTAATAATGGTGGAGATAAATAGGAATGAGTAATACTTGGAAACCCAAATAGTGGTATTGTGGGTAAAGTGGGGATGTCATATCCTTTTATCATCTATGTCTTTCTAATCATAGATGGGTGAGGAGACAGGAATTCACACGAACAAGCCCTAAATTTTTATTGTTATCATAAACTATAGAGAAAAATATATGAATAAATGCACAGCACAATTTAGACAGTATGCGTGATTTTCTAATCCCCTTCTTTTTACGACGGATTACCTCATTTTCCCACTTCTGTTTCCTTCCTCCTGCCTTGCCCAAAATCCCTCCTTCAAACTCCTCCCATATCTTCAACCTGCATCTCAAACTGATAGCCTCATTTAGTTTATTATGGTTACATACATATATGTGTATGTATATATCTTCACAAATTTAGAAGTGTAATCTGCTGAGTGTGTTTGCTGGTGCTATGAATATGGTCTCAGAGCTGACAATTTTGTATTGAATAATCAATAAGGGTTTCATCCCTGTGCATGTCTAATTAGGCTTTTAGTTGCTTATAGTTTTTTCTTGGCAATAGGACTCAGTTAAACTCCATGCTTCATATTAGCATGTCTATTGCTATTGCCAATACAGTCCTGTTTATGTAGTCAATTCTAATAGAGACCACTTACCAGAGGATTTTCTGCTACTCTGGCTCTTAAAAACTTTTTGCACTTTTCTGCGATTTTCCTGAGTTTTAGATGCAGGAACTGAGATGTAGTGAATCCACTTGTGTGGGGCTCCCCATGATCCATTCATCTCTACAAAGTGTTTTTAAAATATTCTTAAAAGTCATTTATTATAGGGGAAAGTGATTATTAATATTAATTAAGCTCACTATGGATTTTGATTTTACCAGAATTCCATTATGTGTCTTCAGTCAAAGTATGTTCCTCATTTCTCAGTTGGAGTAAACTCAAGATCCACAAACCATCTAATTGTAGGAGAGAAAGGTTAGTATTATAGTTAATAAGTAAATAAATCAAGATTTTATTTAAAAAGCCTCAAATATTTTATGTTAGAAATATATATTATTAATATAATCAAAAATACTTCAAGAAAATGAATTTATTGGTTTGTGATAGATGATGTATCTTATAAAATTTTAATATTTTAAATAAGGTGTCAAGATGAGAGGTGAATTTTAAGTGCAATGTAAATTATCCCTTACCCGAGGAGCTTCAAAAAACACAGTTTGGAAGGAAGTTGAGAAATTAAAATGAAAATGATGAGTAGAGTGGTTTGAAGGCAGGATCATGGGTAGGTTCATAGATTGCAATGTATAAAAGTAGCTGGAAAGTAGGAGAAATAGACCATGAGCTAGCAGAATGAAAACATGTCTGAGAGGTGGAAGGAAAGTACAATTTTTCTTGTCCTCATCAGTTCTAGAAAGGCAGAGAAGACTACAAAACTCGGTCTTAGCAGAGCTTCTTTTACATTTAAAGTAGATAGTCATGAACATCTGTGCCGACATGTTTGCCACAATTTAATGACCTGTATAGTGTTGTTTCTTCCTAGGTATTGTCGCAAGTCAAAATTAGAATGGCAGGTAGAAGTTTCAAAATTATGGATATTAACATGTAATTTATCTATGTCTCCTTTTCAGTTTTTCCTAGGATAGATCCAGAATATAAGGTAAAAGTTTGATATTTCATTGTTGATTATTAATTTTGAAAAGCGTGACACATAGAAGACTGATTAAATATTATTTTTAAAGAACAACCAGTCTCCCATTGGAAGTAAAGCTTTTGTTTCATCTGAAGTATCAACAGTAAAGCATGAACACGAATTCCTACCAGGTAAATAGTGTAATACTATTTTTTCTGTTTAGCAACTATTTTAATACAATTTTGCATGCTGTACCAGGTGCATGGTGGCTTGGTAAATTACACATGCCTCTTCTGATTCAACATAGGTTGCTGAACCATGTGAATAGATTTAGTTATGACTGAACTTAACTCCATTTTAAACTCACAAGTATAGGGGAAATTCTCCCAGCATCTTCAAGATTTGTATATGTATATCTTGTATGTTTGTGTGTGTATCTGTGTGCATGTGTCTCTTTGTGTGTGTGTGTGTGTGTGTGTGTGTGTGTGTGTGTGTGTGTGTATGGACTAGGGGCTAGATTTGACACTGGGTATTTCCACAGTTGCGTAGAGGGTCCCACAACTCACTGTGTAAAATTAAAACATAGTCAGAATGCCATAGCTGACACAGGACATTAACTGACCCTCAGAAGGAGAATTAAGACAGACCTTCCAGCCATAATTACTGCTCACAAAGAGGAAGGAATACCTCAACATTACTAGATTTTACTCCAAAGAACACTAAAAACATCACCACTTGTGACTTTTCTTCTCCCCATTTTATGAAATTTTTATATATTTTTTCATATAATATATCCTGCCTACAGTTTTCCCTCCATCTACTCCTTGCAGTTCCTCCCAACCTCCCACCCATCTGCATCCATTTAAGAGAAAAGAGCAAGCTTCTCAGAGTTAACAGCCAAACAGAACAAAATAAAATATAATAAGATAAAACAAAAAACATCACATCAAAGATGAACAAGGCAAATTGACAAAAGAAAAGGAGCCCAAAAAAAGGCACAAGAATCAGAAATCCACTCATTCACACACTTCTCTGATGATAGCTGAATAAGGTGCTGATCTATGAGAATAGCAGTTTTAGGTACAGATTTCCTCTTGTGGAGTAGTTCCTAAGTCAAATCAGATATTGGTTGTTAACTTAAAAAACTGAATCACCAAACTTATTCCACATGCTTGAGACCAGCATAGAAATAGACACAGAATGAAAATCCAAGATAGCATGTCTCTTCCCAAATTCACTATGCCACTAAAGGGGACTGAATAAAAATGGATTGAAAGGACTCCAAAAGAATTAAAAAGAAATATTTTAAAGATGTTTAAAGAACTCATGGAGAATACAAATATTAGAATATAGGAGTCTACTCCAAGATAACCAAAGCAATGAGATGAATAACACAAAGAAGTGAATCCAAGATACAAAAATAGAATTAAATTGCTGAAGAAACCCCAAACACTAAACCATTCTGTGGATAAACTTGCATTCTACACATGTCACTTGTTTTCTTTTCTTTGTATTTTATTTATTTTAGATAGTTATATTTATTCATTTCCTTTACATCCCAACGACAGTTTTCCCTCTTTTCTCCCCTCTTATTCCATTACCTCCCATTTCCACCCCCAGAAAAGCCGTTCCTCTGTTTCTGTTCAGAAAGGGGCAGGACTTCCATATAAATCAACAAAGCATGGCTTATCAAGTTGAGATAGGACTAAACTCCCCCAACTTTATTAAGACTGGGCAAGCCAAACCTAGTATGAGGAATAGGTTCCCATAAGCCAGACAAAGCATTAGGGACAGCCCCTACTCCAAGTGTAGAAGTCCCACAAGTAAACCAAGCTACACAACTGACTCGTCCCATGTAGGCTTTATGGTTGTTGACTCAGACTGTGAGCTCCTTCCTATGAACCCAGGTTAGTTGTTTCTGTAGGATCCCTTGTGATATCCTTGACTCCCTCTGGCTTGTACAATCCTTCCTCCCTCTCTTTAGTAGGATTCTGCAAGCTCAGCCTAATGCTTGACTGTGGGTCTCTGCATCTGTTTCTATCAGTTATTTGATGAAGGCCCTGTACTAACAATTGGGGTAGTCACCAATCTACGAATATAGCAGAATATTGCTAAGCATCATTGCATTGACATTTTTTCCCTAATGGTGTTTGGTTCTATCCTAGGTCTCTGGACTGTCTGACCTTTGGGTCCTAGCACTGGGCAGTGTCAGGGGTGGGCTTATTCTCATGGTCAGAAGCTAGACCAGTCGTTAGTTTGCCACTCACACAATCTCCTTGTTACCCTGATTGCCCCACCTCCACCTGGATCTTTCCCTAGGCAGAACAGATTGTAGGTCAAAGTTTGTGTGCTTTGGTCAATATCCCAGTTCCTCCATTGGAAGTCCCAACTGGTCACAGGAGATGACCAGTTATGGATATACATTCATCTTGCTCCACATCCTCTCCAGCATAAGCTGTTATTTGTGGGCTTTTTTGTTTGTTTGTTTTTATCTTAGACATTCTGACACTCTTAAGAAGGAATCTCATGGTTGTTGATTTGCATTTACCTAATGTCTCAGGATGCTGAACATTTTCTTCAGGTGAATCTCAAGCATTTGAGATTCTTCTGTTGAGAATTCTCTGTTTAGATCTGTACCCCATAATATATCTATCATCTATCTATCTATCTATCTATCTATCTATCTATCTATCTATCATCTACTTCCCTTTTAATTTAAATTAAAAACAATCTTGTTTTACATACCAATCTCACTTTTTAATTGAATTATTTGGTTGTTTTTATGTCTAATTTTTTGAGTTCTTTACGTATTTTGGATATCATCCCTCTGTCAGATGTGGGGTTAGAAAAGATATTTTCCCACTCTGTAGGATGCCATTTCGTCCTATTGACAATATCCGTTGCCTTACAGAAGCTTTTCTGTTTCATGAATTAATATTTATTCATTGTCATTCATAGTGTCTGTGCTATTGGTGTTCTGTTAAGGAACTTTTATAGTGTGCCAATGCATGCAAGACTATTTTTCACTTTTTCTTCTATAAGGCTTATTTGCCTGATTTAATATTGAGGTCTTCGATCCACTTTGATCTGAATTTTGTTCAGGGACATATGCATGGATTTATTAGCATTCTTCTACATGCTGACATTCAGTTATGCCAGCACCATTTATTCAAAATGCTTTCTTTTTTTCTATGGTATACTTTAATTTTATTTGTCAAAAATCAAGTATTCATAGGCATGTGGTTTTAAATCTTGGTCTTGATTGGATTCCATTGATCCACCAGTCTGTTTTTATGCCAGTACCATGATATTTTTAATTACTGTACCTCTGAAGTAGCAATTGATATCAGAGATGATGATACATACTCATGTGCTTTTCCTAGACAGGATTGTTTTAACTATCCTCTTTTTGTTGTTTATCATATGAAGTTGAGCTTTTTCCAGGCCTATATTTCGATGGAATTTTAGTGGGGACTTCGTTGAATCTGTAGATTGTTTTTTGGTAAGATAGCCGCTTTTGCAATGTTAATCCTATCTATCAATGAGCAGGGAAGATCTTCCCATCTTCTGACACCTTCTCTAATTCCTTTCTTTAAAGACTTGAGTATCTTGTCTTATAGGTCTTTCACTTGCTTGGTTAGAGTTATCCAAGATATTTTATTTGTAGATTGTGAAAGATGTTCTTTCCCTGATTTCTTTTTCAACCTGTTTATAATTTGTATATAAGAATGCTACTATTTTTTTAGTTAACCTTTTGTCCTCCCATATAACTGAAGGTGTTTATCATCCATAGGAGTTTCCTAGAAGAGTTTTGGGGGTGACTTATTTATACTATCATAACATCTGCAAAAAATAATAGTTGACTTCCTTTCAAATTTGTATTGTCTTGATCTCCTTTTACTGTCTTATTGTTCTAGCTAGAACCTGAGTACTATATTGAACAGATATGGAGAGAGTGGACAGCCTTGTCTTATCCCTGATTTTAGTGGAATAACTTGGAGTGTCTCTCCATTTAATTTGATGTTGGCTGTTGACTTGCTATATATTGCCTTTATTATGTTTAGGAATGTTCCTTGTATCCCTGTTCTCTCCAAAACCTTTATAATGAAGAGGTTTTGGATTTTGTACAAGGCTCTTTCAGTATCTAATGAGATGATCATGCATTTTTTTTTCAGCTTGTTTATATGGTGGATTACATTGATGGATTTTCATATGTTGAATCATTCCTCCATCTCTGGGATGAAGCCTACTTGATCATGGTGGATAACTTTTGATGTGTTCTTGGGCTTGCTTTACCATTATTTTACTGAATATTTTTGCATTAATTTCATGAGGGATATTGGTCTAAAGTTCTCTTTCTTAGTTGTGTATTTGTGTGGCTTGGATATCAAGGTTATTGAAAGAGTTTGGCAAATACCCTTCTACTTCTATTGTGTGGAATATTTTTAGAAGAATTGATATAATCTGTTCTTTGAATTTCTGGGAGAATTCTACACTGAGGCCATCTGGTCCTGGGCTTTTTTTGGTTGGGAGACTTTTGATGACTTCTTCTATTTCCTTGGGGGTTATAGGTGTATTTAAATTGCTTATCTGTTCTTGGTTTAATTTTGGCAAGTGATATCTATCTAGAAAATTGTCTATTTCCTTTAGATTTTCAAATTGTGTAGAGTACAGGTTTTCAAAGTATGACCTGATGATTCTCTGTATTTCCTCAATGTCCGTTGCTGTGTTCCCCTTTTGTTTCTGATGTTAATTTGCATGTTCACACTGTTGATTGGTAAATTTGGATAAAGGTTTGTCTATCTTGTTGATTTTCTCAAAGAACCAACTCTTTGTTACATTGATTTTTTTGTATTGATTTCCTAGTTTCTGCTTTATTGATTTCAGCACTCATTTGATTATTTTCTGGCGTCTAATATTCTTGGGTGAATTTGCTTCTTTGTGTTTTAGAGCTTTCAGTTGTGCTGTTAATTCTCTAGTGTAACTATTCTCCTACTTATTCATGTGAGCACTTAGTGCTATGAACGTCCCTCGTAGCACTGCTCTCAAAGTGTCCCATAAATTTGAATATGTTGTGACCTCCTCAGTGTCACTGAATTCTAGGAAGTCTTTAATTTCTTTTTTTTTTCTTCTTTGATACAGGAATGGTGCAATTGTACATTTTTCAACTTCCATGAGTTTGTAGTGTTTC